TGAGCACAGAACAAGGGAGAGTCAAAGCTAGCACAGGTCTGCCTGCCCATCACCCCGGGAAGGGGGCCCCCCACCAGGGTGGCCAGAAGACAGTCCGGGCCTGGAAAGGTGCCCTGGCGCCCAGCCTTTCCTTGGGGAGCGCTCACCTGGGAAGGCTGCAAGCTCACAGGGGTTGTGGAGGGCACCGGCGACCTCCTAGGAGGAAGGAGGAGGGCTGGCCAGCAGCTGCTCCAGCCTCCCTGGACCCAGCACAACCGGCGGCTTGGTAGCTGCACGTGGTGCCGGGCCGGAGCCGGGAGGAGAGCCCCACGGAGACAGCGACTCCCCGGGCATTGCTAGGTTACCGCCGGGTGCACAGAGGCACTGGGAGCGGGAACACGAGCTCCACGGACCCCCGGCCAGCGATTTGGGGGACTTGGCCTCCCTCTGGGGGAGGGGTGTGTTTCAGCCAACGGCGCGAAGGGTGAAACCCAGCAATCCTGGAATTTTGAGGATGCCACGGGAGACCTTGTTCCCAGTCTAAAAGGGGCTGGGAACTAGGTGAAGGCGAGACGAGGCTGGACAGGGGGCTCCGGCTGCAGACTAACAGCCACCCCCCTTCCATCGCTCGGGAGCGCAGGAGGAAAGTTGAGCCAGAGGACGCGAACCCAAATCACCTCGGCGCGAAGCCCCCGCTGCTGCACAGCGCTCCACCGACCCCCGGCCGCCCCCAACCAACACATGCAGAATTAACTGTGCCATCCGAGGCCTGAAGGCGAGAGCGGGTGGCTGTCACGCACATCCCCTCTCTGCAGATGACACCGAGCCAGAAACATCCTCTCCCACCCCCTCAACCCACCCAGCGCGGCAGAGACGGGCGGGGTGAGAGCGAGGAGGGTGGGAGAGGAGGACCATGACAAGGATTAGGTTTGGCAGCGGGTGCCAGGCGCTGGCTGCTCACCGTTCGCGTGGTCCGCTTGCTGCTGCCGTTGATGCTGCATTTTTTTCATCATCATCATCATCATCATCCACGAACATTTATTGAGCGCCTACTGAGTGCAGGGCACTGTGCTGGGTGTAGGGGCGGGTGTGGAGCGGGTGAGGGGTTACCGGTAGGTAGAAGCCCAGGTCCCTGCCCTTATTCTCGCTTCAGCAGGGGGTGGGGAGGGATGGGGACAGATAACAGAAAATAGGAATAATTGCTAAAAACCGCTCGCCACCCACGCTCCCTCTTTTTCAAAAATGGAACAAAATAAACTTTTTTAAAAAAAAATAAGACCCGACGTATATATTATCTTAATAATATATACATGTAATTTTTTGCTGCAAAGGA